AGGAATTATTCTCTGAGTATCAGAGAGCAAATATTACTGGCACTACGATTTTTTGCCCTTTTTTGTTTCTGCGACATGTTTCGACAATGTGACAATGGATAAAGTTAGCAGACAACAAAAACAAACAATGGATTATGGGTCTTTTATTTTGTTTATAGAAACCCCTTGCATTCTGGGTAATTTCATTCCCAAATATGGTCTAGTTAAGTTGTTCATATATAGCAACTAAACGCTGGATGAAATATTTAAACGTCGGTTAACCCCATAGAGCCTGGCAGCATCTGACCTAGAAAGTGCCCTTGATCCTGAGCCCTCTACCCAGATGCACTCAATTTTACTGGCGGTCTCATTTAATCAATGATAATATATTTACTTGTCTAGAAAACACCTAAAAACTGTACATTTTTAAAAAGCCAAGAATGTAAGCTTTAAAGTCATATCAGTTTTATTCACATTTGTTAACTAAGGTAGTAATAGCAGGAGTTTAAATATGAGACTTGTTTTTCTCGAAGAGAAGTAAAAAACAAAAACTTTAATTTCAGCATGCACATTATTTTTCACTTTACCAGATAATTTGTTGAAATTTTCTCTTAAACATCCGAAATATGTCTTAAACAATGTCAGAAAATTTCAGAAAGATATCTTATTTAGTTTTTGAGATATAATAAATTTTCTGGGATGCGTGCTGTACCTAAAAACCTGTATCACGTCAGAGTTGCACAATATACAGACAGGCTAGCTGACTAGAAGACTTCCACCTAATTACTTTTATAATTACAAAAATATTGTAAATTTAGTGCTTTTTACGAAAGTTTTCCATAGTTTTTTTTTTAATCAACTGAACCACGATACTCATAAAATTTTGTTTAGCACTCAAACCATATACAAGAATACATACATTATCATGAGCAAACATTACACTTTCGTGAATAAAAATTGCATCATAAAAATACAAGTAAACGTGGCATTTGTACTAATACACAAGCAGGAAAAGATATGTTGATACAGCGCACTAGTAAACATATTACATCTGTATTTATACACAAGCAGGAAAAGACATGTGTTGATGTAACACACAAGTAAACATATGTCATTTGTACTGAGACATAAGCAGGAAAAGACATGTTGATGCAGTACAACGTAACATATGACATTTGTATTTATGCACAAGCAGGAAAATGCATGTTGATGCAGCACACAAGGCAACGTTTAGCCTGACTTGCCACGGTTACAGTCATTTTATCAGCGATATAGCAATTCCAATTACTATTGTCGTCTGCTTGGTTACTGCCGTTAGTATCATCAGCGTTTTTCATAAATCAAGCCCCACGACGGAATCTGCTCTCTGACAACTTATACTAGGCAAAGGTACATCATCTTCGAAGTAACCGGAGTATCAAAATCTATCAAGAACTCTTCCCCGAAGTCTGAATTTTCTAACAAATCTAAAACATTTCTCAACCCATAACTTCTGCTGACTTCTCGCCGCCATGATGACTTCATAGCGCCTCGACAATGGTTGAAATAAACCGCTTTTTCATTATCTATTTCTCGCTACACGTCTTTCAAAAGCCGGTAGTAAACAAAAAACTAACATTAAGTTAGTCTTGTGATAGAAGCATGAATTGTTACAAAAGACAAGGGACAGTACAAGCATGTAAACACAGAAACCGCGTATATGCGGTTCCCGGCACTGAGGACTTTTTAAAACGAACCGCATATGTGCGGTTCCCGGCGCTATGGGGTTAACTAACCGGCTGTTTAAACACTATTTATGAAACACAATTTTAACCCTCATTTAGTTAACGGGTTTTTAGAGAATTTCTCCACTGGTTAGGCTTATACACTGGTTAGTGCTAAACGTCCTTTATGAAACTGGGCCCAGCTGGCTAAATTTTATGCACATTTAGTCATTATTGAGCGAGAGGCAGTACAATTGTTGTGATAAGCAATTGGCTCTTCCACCTTAACATGAGGGGATTATGAAATGAGCTACCGTTCAATATATCTCCCAGTTATGAGGTTCAGTAAGTCTACTCAATATGTTTCCCAAATCACCGTAAAAAATCTGACGCTCTGACAAGCGTTAGTAACAGAGAAACTGATTTTACTGTGTTTGATATATGGAAGGGTTCCGAACCAACAGGAACAATCAAGCTCGATCAATTGAGATGCCGTTCAAATAATTGTAGGCCCATAATGTAACTGATGGAATCATAAATCAATTCAAACAAACGTGTGGTTGGGGAGCCCAAAGCGAGTAGTTTGCTTAGACGTGTTATGTAAGAAAATTCAGCCCTATAATTTGGTCTTAGCAAATCCATCGACTCTACGTACCTTATTTAAGTAAAATCCAGTATTCTGATAAGTGTAAAGTTTGTTGAATACCGCGGTAGTTTTTCGTACATGTACACCTTTTTTACCTTTATGCACGAGTAAAACATTTGTTATCATTTAGTTTCTGTAACTTCTTCCTCCAGTTTGACTAACAAACGTGAGCTGCCGTTCCCCAATTGTTCTCAAATTTCAACCCTATTAACATATCTTTAGTGAAACAAACTTCACCAAAATACCCTAGCAGATAAATGCACAGCAGTCAAATATACTGTCAGCGTTGTTTCCTATTGAGCAGACGTTATTAAGTCTCACTCCGATACATTTGACATTTGAAATGACCTTACACCTTCATTTAGAACAAAGATTAAATAAATAAGATTGGTCAGTTTGCATTGTTAGTTACGCGTATATTTTTCTACGTGTTTCCCGCGGAGTATGCACAGGGCTGTGAGCTAGACATATGATATTTTGCCTACGTTTTTAACATCAAAAATGAAGTTTCACTACTTTCAGTGTTACCACATGTATATACTCTCATGGCAAATGTTGATGGGTATATCAGTAAGACACGTAAATGCTGTCAGACTGTCATTGAATGCTAAGGGGAAAGTCATTAGAGTCGTTAATGTAGACTCTGGATTATTAGTGTAGTGATTTTGCAAACTGTTAATTGGATGGCTTTGATTTTGACAAACAACTGAAGAAAGAAGTGGTCGAGGACGCAGGTACAATACGTCTGTGAGTGGTTTACGATAAACATATTTCAGTTGAATGAACAATGAGGCTGTAGAATAAAATATATATAAAGTTATGTATATCGCAATATTTGGACGCAATCTTTAATTACATCCCACCCAGTGACGGGTCTTTACATGGATTGACCCAACCCTGGTGGGCACTCGCTAAGTGAAATCAGCGTAACTGAATGACACGCAATAAACCAATACCAAACTTAATTTGATAAGGTCTCCGATTTTGGATTTTCAGCAAATAAATCTTATTTTGTCCTGCTTAAATGTTCGATTGATGCCCCCGAATGCAAGACACATAAGAGGCACGGTAAAGACCTTTCACATTTACCAGCATTTACTCACTGATATTGATGACTTTAGCACAGTGACCTTTTGAGGACTTAAGGGGATAGTTATCCTCTTAATGTAGAGACTAAATCAAACCACTATTAGTTACCCCTTGTCAGTCAACTTTGCAAGTTCACTTCAGTGTGATTCTGATAGCAATACTTTTAAGCCCATGAAGTGTGTGTGTGTGTGTGTGTGTGTAGAGAGAGAGTTTACGGATGTTTGTGGGACGCACGCATCCGTGTTTGTGCGGATTTAAATGAATAACAGATATTTCCTTTTTTTCTCAAAATAAAATTTGCCTACACTGTTAAATCACTGCGATGCAGTCTGGTATTAACAGCAGCGTATTGCTGTACAACAATGTTACAGAGAAAATGGTATTGAGTAACACAATGATTTATATCTTTACGATTGTTGTAGTATTATGCACCTACATAGCTTGGTTTATTATATATTATACGCAATATGCATAGAGCATGGATGACTTTGAAATTGAACGAAAGAACGGATACACAAAACTATCATCATTCACATGATTTTAGTGTAATAGTTTCGTATGCTTATCATCTGTGCACCTTTATGGCGTCTATGATTTAACAGCCAACGCTGTAGATAACGTTAACATTTATCACAAAAATACCAAAATATACACAGTGGACGCTGAAGCAGTCCCACAGCGTTTTAAAGCAAAACTACCCAATTATTGATGTGATCAACAAGCGTTGAGATTGTCTATCAGGAAAATAAGATAAGAAGTTTTGAAAAGCAAATAAATCAGTCCTGAGATTTTTGAAGTGTCCATTAAACAAATGCTGTTAGATATGACAGTTGACAAAATGATCAACGTGTTATGTTGCTGTCTGCGTCTGTCACTTCCGTGCGTCAAATTTTAAAGGTTAATATTTGTGACATGGTAACACGTATAATCCTCTGAAACCGGCAATACGTAATATATATTCATGAGATTTCGACCTGGCTGTGCTGTTTCACTCGCTGTTTAATAATTGTGTGTGCGGGCCAGTAAACTAACTTGCCGCGCCGTCTCATAGCCTACCACCCATGTAAAAGTTTTTGGTCTTAAAGGCACCTTAAAGCCGTGCTGGAAGTCTTCGTTTTAATGCATGGCCCCAAATGGTTGACTGGGCCCCGTCTTCTCTGTGTCATTTAACGGTATTGTGGTTGAAGGACGAGATTGTGTTGTGAAAACGCAATCGGTTCATTCGCGTTGCAGAAACTGGTAGCGCATCTGAGCAAACGCAACGCGATACTGCTCAACAAAAGCAATTGATGACAGCGGCTTTAATGTTGCCTTCTCTAGACACCTTTCTATCAGCGTACATTTTTTTCTTTTTAATGCCTGCCCCTATTTTGTCTAAGATGACAAAACATACTTTTCTTTACAATCGTTAAAGGCATATCGGTTTATAGCATTATGCATTACTGCAATATTATATAAATTGTGTTTCGCGATGGCTTCATATACGTTACATGATGCATGAACTAATAGATTACAAATCCCATCACTTGGTAACTAAAAGCAAGATTAAAACATTGAGATATTTTCCCCCTTTCTACTTTCAGAAAAATCATCTTCCATCCGTCATGCCGAGGAATCTACGCTAAAAGGGACTACAGCATCTCAGACAACTCACATTTAGAAAACACATTAGGATCATATGCAAACCTTTATAGGCAATTAGGGTGAGTGTGCGCGAACGTGTACGTGTTCGTACGTGCGCATGTGAGCGAAAGGTCATATTGCAGCGCTCGTCTGTGCGAGGTATCTTAGCTTCCCTTAACAAAGCTAAACGTTTGCGGCAAGACATTTGCATGAGTTCAAGAAAACTTTGCTGCTTATTTGCTGCAAATTTGCAACAAGCATAAACGTTTGCAGTAAGTTTGCAAGAAAATATTCATATTCTTGCAAATTTGGAGCAAATTTGCGAGGGAGTATGCGGCAGGTCTGATATTTTGCTAATAGGGGTGAGATTAGGTAACGCCTTCACACGGTAATATGTAATATGCGTTGGCGAGTCTGCTTCTTCACGGCGTATTGATCGACATTAACACCCATTCAAGTAATTCATTACAGCGTTCATGCAGTATGCAATTAACAAGGGGAACAGACCTTAAGGTTTTTTGAGTGTGTGTGTGTGTGTGTGTGTTACATATAACAAGATGTTTCCTATGTTAGGTTTCCGGTGGTAAATGCATTCTGCCTTCCATAATTTCATAATAAAAGTATTTTTCTCGAGATGAAAAGAACAAAAATAATGTGCTCCCTGCTGTATGCTGTTGAAACGATGTTCTCTTTTATTTGATTCAAGTGGTGACCTCGTTTCATTTTATTTCAGGAGAAGGTTACCTGTTTGGAAAACGGGGGATGAGGAAGAGGAAGGGGAGAGGGGAATGGAAATGGAACTGGAAACAGACCCTGCAGACGACATGATGGACAACAGGCCACATGCCAAGGACAGGCGGCAAGTAGATGTAAGCGCCCTCTTGTGGGTTAACATCGTTGGCGATATTAATCCGCTTTATATCAGTTTCCAGACCCCATTCGTTTCCTTTAACATTGTATCCTGCAATAACATACATGGAACTGTAGCTTTTACTTGATGCATTGATTACCATGTTTAATTGCATATTTGTACATGATGTAACATAGTGTCATTATCTCAAATATTTCTTATTTTGTATCTGTGGCGGGGTTATATCTTATCAACATATGGTGTTGTGTCAGTTTTTACTTAAAATCATGAACCAAAATAAAATTCCTTTGAGGTGTTGGGTGTGCAGGTTTAAAAGCACCAATATTTTTTTTCATATTTTCTAGGTATACTATCTTCCCATATACAAGGTCATCATGCGCCGCCGATAATAACTCCGACGCCTGTACTGGGGTTAACGTCGAGTCTTATCACACGGAGGCTTGCATTTTTACGTATATCCCAGCTCAATATTTAGCCTTTGTTTTCGAGCCACCTTCAAAGACAAGATATAAACGCGTTGGCGCTGATGGGATGCATTGCTAATAAAGCATGAGACATTTTACCTGCTGTATGATACCTTGACGTACAGTTAATGGTGATTGTATTCAATGCCTAACAAACGGCGAAAGAATGAGCCAGATATGGGTTTTTTGCAATATACGCATTTCACACAGTGAAAAAGCATACATGTATAGATTGCTTAATACATGCACTATTAATCAAATGGAGATTTGGATTGTCAGTTGACATTATTTTGACTTGGAATTAAACATTTTACAAAATATAAGCTGAGTGGTAAATCTCACCAAGTGTTTGTTTTAATAAACCCCCAAAACAGCTGTATAATTCAGTGGAATTTCATCTTGTACAGTCGCATGGTATTGCCTCTGTCTGTTGTTTTGACTTTTGATAGCTTTTCTATCATCCCTGCGGCGCTCAATCAAATAAAAATAATTCAAAAACGATATTTAGTGTTTTGGAGTGGCAACAGTGATTTCTTAAAAACGTTGTTTTGTCTTGTTTCCTATAAGTAACAATATCTGTCTTGACCCCTTTTATGGGTTCATCTCCCCACACTTCCAAAGTAATGATATATGACCACTATATCTACCTTCAGTGACACACGATATTACTTTGGTTATAATGACGCAGTGCTGGATTACAAACAGTCAAAGATATTAGAAATCTGAGAACCCGTTCTTATGTGGTCTTCGTGTCCCCTCTTGATTGGAAATTTAATTATCCAGCGGACAGAGAATGTTCCATCATTCAAGAGACTTTTACCGGGTTATTTCAGGATTGCGTCTTTAGATAAATATATTTGTATCGAAGGCCACGGGGATGTCACGAAAACAATTAAGTCAGAACTTAAGTGTGCCAGAGGCAAAATCATGGAGTGATAAGAAGTGAACTTTTGTAAACTGTAGTGTGAAGTTTCAGAAACATGCATATATAAAGTGCGAAACGTTTTTACTTCAAAAACATTCCTTACTGAATAATAAAACAAAATTGCCCACAATGAGAACTGAAAATTGTGTATTTCACTTGTGAAAAGAATGTCAAAGATCTGAATTGCGTCATACATGGGAACTGCAAAATATACACAACAGAAGAAAATCACATTCAGAATAAAGTGTTTTCAATTTATTAATGCCTGGGCGTTTTTGCCACCATGTTATTTCCGCTGATGCTGAAATTTAGTCACTAAGTAATAAAGCACAGCCTAATATATCAGTAACTGCAAAACGCAAGTTCTATCGACTGATTCTAATTATTGATTATATTCATCATAATGAAAAAAAAAATGTTGTCAAATGTATAAAGATCGGCAAAATTAAAGGTAGTAATTAACAAAATTATAGTTTGTCTTTTTGTCTGACTGTGAGACAGTGCCCAGTTCCCAATGATTTGTACCGCTTTCCATAGATTGTATGAATCAAATGGAGGATGGACTCCCTGATGTACGAAACATCGGTTTCTTTATGCTGTAGAAGAAGATGTGTTGCGTGCTCCAATCAAGATACCCCAAATGAGAATGGTTGACTGCAGTTATTTACCCCTAATACGTGATCATCAATGGGAGAAAATTAGTTTTGACAGCATCTGTCATTAACACTGCAAAATTTTAGGCCAGTTTCACATGCTACCTTTCCTGAAACCAGAGAGACAGAAAATTTGCTCATTGGCAAAGATTTTAGCGAGCGATCGTTTGACTAACGCGTTGTGCAATTACAAGCAAATTGCATTTATGCAGTGCTAGAAATATAACAGTGTACTACATGTAACAAGCATTTCCAGATTGTCTAGAAAATGCAGTATGAACACGCTGCAACTGTTATGGTAAATGTTATGTCAGTATTCCAGCCGTCCTGTATCCCACCATACTATTTCACGGTAGAGTTCAAATTGTCTAATAATACAGTATCGTCTGCAACTGCCATACATCTTGCGGTTCTGACAACCATGGTTATTGCAGACCAAACGGGCTTAAATTGTTTAACGACATTTCTGTCCAAATTGCATATTGAATTTTAGCTGGACTGCTTTTTGCTTGCATTGAAACTTCTTGGTTTACTACTAGCCATAAATCTTAAGTCCAATAATAGGTTCCACTGTGAGCAAATTGGAATTGTCTCCCAAACTAAGGGCTTTTGTTTACAATCTTGATCCTCGTTTCAGTGAATGATGTGGTTGTCTATAAATAACCAGCATGCCATTCAACGTACAAGACAAAGGTTTGGTGATTTCTTCTCGTAAGGCTGATACTTGGGGAATGGGGTTGCTGCATGGTACAAAGATGGGTTTGTTTATATGCTGTCAAAGAATCAGTACACAGTGTCGTTGATAACATTACTCTGTTAATTCCCTCTGCGCCACGGGATGTAATCATAGACTTGTCGCTTATGAGCTAGGTGCCAATTACATGAAGCAGGTTTTTTCTAGTGATTAGTCATTTAATCAAATCCTGAACAGAGCACTTAATATGCGTGTGTCTGATTTCACAGCGATAAAAACGTGGTTTATCGAAGATGTTTACATGTGCATTCCTAAGTAGCTGATGATTATAGATGTAATCTAGTCACAAGTATGATGCCGATTCTAAATAAAGACACAGAAGTTGCATCTGAAAGTTGCAGCTGTTTGTCAATGCTAGTAGGTGCGCAACGATCAAGACAGGTATGTAGCGTTCTAATGGTACGAAGTGCACAGCGGGCAAAAACTTGGGAAGAGGGAGACGCAAAGATTTTACACTGTCCGGCAGTGACAGAATATCCCGTGGGTATATCTGTCTGAATTGGTCCCAGCCTTTTTTGTCCCAATTAATCACTTGATGAAAACATGAATATTTCAATATTTATTGTGTAATAAAGCTTGGACATTGAAGTTCCATTTGAAACCCATCAATAACTTGGGGATGTTGCCGCCGAAAAATAACCTTTGCAACATAAAATATAACTAAAGATATATGGCATAAGCAGGCTATTAAGCTTTAATTGGTTCAATGTTTAATGCAAACTGATGATTGCTGATAACATAAAAAGATACACAAGTTATTCTTTTTTTATTCCTTTTTCAGACTATTAAAATTACTCTGCGCTTTCACTCAAAGATATGAAAATAGCCTTTCTTTATTGAGAAACTAAGTTGATACGACATATAATTCATATATGTACCTTAATTTGCTGTCAAATTTGTGTATTTTTAAATTTTAAAATTTAGATTTTATTGGCTAAACATCCAATTATATAAACATAAGAGCTACAAGTGATTACATCATTGTGTATCCCCATGGGAAATAAACTCATAATGTCCTTGTGGTGAAAATTGCGTAGATTACTGGTTAAAACTCATAGATCCCTGGGGACTCCCCGTGATGATTCCCCCTGGCGAATATTAAGATTCTCTTAAGATATCAAATTAATAAAATGCGAGAAAAATCCAATGCAGACCCACCACTAAGAACCACCACAACACACATTATCTAGTTAACTTTACCGGGGGTCAAGCATAACCTTCAATTAACTTGGAACTGATGGAATTTCAAACAGAGGAGACATTCACTGTCGTAGGCTGATTACTTGGAAAGACATAATTCTTTAGGAGAGAAAGGGGAAATTGTGAATATGTTTTATAAAAAGGATTTCTTTAAAATGAACGACTAATAAACAAAGCTGCAGATGGTTCGAATCACATACTCTTTATGTCTCCTCCATCCCAATGCACCACAAACTTTCATAATCCCATTCACAACAAGAGAGAAGGGAATAAAGAATACTGGTTGTTCGACAATTGCTTTTATAATAGCTGACATATTTGGCATTTTATTAAGCTGGATACACAATCGGTTTAGGTCCAACGTTTTGCATAACAATTAAATAACTTACTAAAAGCAAAAGGACCCTATAAGTTAAGTAAAACAACGTAAATGTTATGAGATGGTCCCTCACTTGCGCAAATTCCTACCATGAACACTCCATGTAAGCTTGAGCACACGATCACGTCAGTGACTTAAATTACGGGAATCGGCTTCAATTGCTGGAATCGGTAGGTGTGTATTTTGTCTCTTTCTGTTCAAATACATTGCGCCTGCGTCAATAGACTCTCTGTTGTCTAATAATTCCGGACAAATGGACAGTGACCTCAAACCTTAGCCTTAATTTTGCTGAAGCCGCGATTAAGTTCGTCATTGATCTCGGAGAAGCCATCGATTGGAAAATAGGTCCAACACGCCTGCTGTTTGAACGCACAAACACCCATTTATAAAACGGACAAGTTTGCAGTAGTGAAGTACATTCAGTAGTGACGAACAATACCAAGAAGAGCGCTTAGATTGCAAGAGGTTCGGAGTTGCGCAAAAACAATTAAGGTAAGACTTTGTGCTTCGAAATTTGCAATGCAGCGGTCTTTTTTATTTTTTGTTTTTTATTTTTTATTTCTTTTTTTGTTGACATTTTACTCAACCAATTTTACTTTTACAATTGAATAATTATTGTTTGGTAAATCATTTCTTTTTCTTAGGTCATTTATTTTGGCCTTTTTAAAACACAAAGATGGCAAGAATGCTTACAATCATGCATTTTACCATGTTATTGCTGGTTTGTAGTTAGTACAATTCCAAAAAGGAAAGGCTTAAATTGACACAGCAAACAGTCGAGTGCAGCAGCCGTTAATGGATATCTTATCGATAAAGTGAATTGTAAAAGTTAAAATTAGTAAGTGTTGGAGAACCTGTTCTCACTATTTCCAAAAACATTTTGGTCAAATAATCATCATTTGTGTAGAATTGACGGGGAAAAGGCTAGTTTGTGAGTTAATACAAATAAACGTCCACATATTGTCTGCATTATTCTTTCATTTTTTCGTTTGCAGGAGATGATTAAGAATCTGAAAATGAATGCAACCGTATCAAGGCTTTTTTGCGCTGTCTTTGTGTCCTGTGTTCTCATACCATCATTAGCCTATAGTTCGGTAAGTTAGTGTTGCCAAATAGGTAATTACGGAGAGATGAGAGCAATTTCGTGTTAATGAACAGTTTCAAAATAAGGTGGTTCACCCACTTATTGGAGACGTATTCATATTACAACACCCCCTTAATTACCCCGCATCAATTCAAGTTAAATTTTTATGTAAAATATTTGGTCTATAAAGTACGGTATATTTAATCTTAAATTTTAAACAATTCTGTTTATTTTTGATTATGTTCATATCGTAACTTAGATATTAAAAAGGGCAAACTTTGGGAAGATTTTCGTATTGTTGAGAGAGAAGCCATTCCTTAGTACACTTTTTAAAGAGAAATATACGTTAAACTGGGTGTAAAAACGTTTTCACCCGTTGACTGATACAACATTTAAAATGCATACATATTTGGAGCGCATGTATTGCAATGTGATATATATATATATGTGCCTGAAACAAATAGTCGTCTCACAGTGGAACCATTCTTAGCATTTGTATCGAAGCAATTGTTCTCTTCGTCCATCATAATTCGGAACATATAATTTCAGTTGTTCCAAACAATCAATACAAAACATCTACAACTGTAGAAGTAAATGAAACGCGCACGCACGCACACACACACGCGCGCGCGCGCGCACATTACGTGGTGGCAAATTGATGAGTTGATGCACGTAAGACTATGGGATGATTCGGACTGATTATTTTATCGATTTTGTAAGATATTGACAACTTCCACGGTGACCAACCCCAGTTAAACTCTATAATTTCATCGCAACGCTGAAAATCACCTCAGTCATTTTTGACAACATATTTGCGTATATCCAGAAAACCCATTAAGGCTAATTAAGCGTCTCTGATTTCGGTTAAAATAGTACTATCTGTCATCGCAGGACGAGTCCACCTGCTAATCGCGTGTCTTTTTTGTAAACTATTTCCATGGAACAAATTTCCAAGAAATATCGTCACGTTGAGATTTCTGAATATGATCTCTGTGACATTGAAATAAATATAAGAGTAACCTATTCGCAAAACCATTCAAACGCACCATTAGAGGGCCAAATCTTTATAGAGTGCATCTAAGATCACTTTAGACGTTTATTTTGTGTTCCAAAATTGGTGGCCATATCTACCATTTTCAGAGATACAGACAAACAAACTTCCAGGACATCTAAAACAATGTGAATACTTGCTGGTTAACCTGTTAACTTGTTGATTAATTGATAAAGTGTGAAATTTTGTCTCTTGACTTTTGTTACTTTAAGCCTATATCACAAGGTACACTGGTCAAAGTCGAGATTCTGTCAATTTACTTTTGGGTGTAAAGAATTACATAGTAAATCACTGACACAGCTGATGATATATGGGCGGGTGCTTTGTCAGTGATTTACATACCATATCATTGACACAGCACCCATATATCGTCAGCTGTGTGTTTTTTTTAACCATAAAATATTTTGCTGAGTTGATATGGATTTTACCAGACAACCATATTGTAATTGGCAGCCATTTTACAACTTTGGATAGGACTCACAATACATACTCACGGTGCCGCGTTATGATACTGGTTGTGATTAAAATAAGACTGAAAGCTGGTCTCAACTTTTATGTGAGTCTCACCAAGAACAGGGATAGATGTTATATAAAACGTCGTTTTGCTAAATGCATGACGTATGTAGTGCATGTTTTACAATATAATAAAGTAACTACCGGTATAGGTCTAAACAATATCATATCCTTTTTTAAAGACAAGCCTAAAAATTTCCGTACCGTTAGCTTACGGCAAACCTGGTCGAAGGCCTTCATCAGTCATCAGCCAGGTTGGCCGTGAGCTAACGGTACGGAAATTTTTAGGCTTGTGTTTTATAATTTTCAAGTGTGATCCAACTACCAATCTAATGAACAGTTTTGCTTATATCCTTTTTATTTTGAAAACAAAGCAAATTCGGGTGGTGTACTGTTGATTTATCTTTGGTCAAGGTAAACATAAATCAGATATATGTATATATCATAAAAATAAAGCTTAGTACAATTTCAGTTTCGAAATAGATATACCAGTACATAGGACTGGATGATAAATTATCCTACACAGTAATGAAAAGTAATTGAAGTGCTTGTCATACGCCTTTCCTTGCATCACTGACACTAATTCATATTTATTCTAAACGCAATAACTACGTGCCCACACATATAGTTATCCGAGTAATCAAAACTGTTTGTTTCTTTTATTAGTTGCTGTTTGCCATTACTTCAAATAATGCCACTTTGCACTATTTAACAGATAAGTTGGAAAAAGCAATAAGGTGCTCAATAACAACGGATGGGTGCATAGAACATGGCAAAGCAAAACATACGTACAATCTGACGGACAGAACAAATATGGTGAATATGGTGATGAATACTATAATACAGTGCTGATGGGTGCCTGTTCATTGATTTTAATTTATCTGAAAGGGACTTTTCTAACGGCAATAACTTGAAGTCCCATTAGACGTTGTCGCTCGTTTATCGTTTAATGTTAAATTCAAGCATATCCTTCAAGTGGTATTCGAGGCACTTAATTTCATCAATTGCAAACTCTGATTTAGTGAGGAAGTCTGCGCTCAGGAAAGAACCAAACAAACCCGGTTGATCCCAGATATAAGATGCATGCTTGACCATTAAACAAGCTGAGCAAGACCGCTGTATGATCCCACTAATGTTAATTTGGCTGGCTACTTAAACCAGAGAGTACATGGCAATCAAGCTGGTACTTACTGCATTGAAAGTAAAATAACCTATGTTAGAAATGTTCCAAGCGCATTTTAAGTTAGTCACATGTCAGTTTAAAAACAGTGTAGGTCATTAAACCGAACAATGCTTTATACTGCTACATATATCCATACATGGTCAAACTGGCCGAAAAGGATGTAAATAAAATGAAAAAGGTGCGTCATTTCAGCGCCATCCGTTGAGTACACATGTCGAACTGAGCTTGGCGTGGTGGCATTATTTTGAAAATATGGAGGTTTGATTCAAGTTTTAATCCATTGGTTTTGGAAGCCAATCGTGTTTAACGTATCTGGAAATGGTGATATTATCAGTCCAACTGTTTTCTAGATAGTGTGCGTGTCGACCTTCTGAAGCAGCTCGCGGCGAGACTCCAGAATCGGATATTTTTAATTCACGATCGGACATCGGGTCTGCTTTAAACACTAAATTTACAATTACTTAATCACTACAAGTGATTTTCCCCAATACTAGCCTAAAGACAGGACAAAAACTGCTCAGAAATATCAATGTTCCGCACAAACTTCCAAAGGAAGCAAGCTTTGATGGTTTTCTAGTATACTACGCACTCTCATGCACTTATATTTGCCTAAAAGACAAGTTAGCCTTTAATGGATAATCGGTCATTTTGAAAGCAGCGTACATGGATGTGTGACGCAGATAATGTTCAGACTGTGCTCTATTTTCTCTATAAAAAAACGCCCCATTGTTCACGTATTCAATATAAACTGAAGGTATCACGTTTCCCTTTAATCCGGTGTTTTAATGTCATTTAATTAGTTGTTCGCGGCTCAACGATGTGATTTGTCTCGATTCTCAAGGGATGACACCACTTAATACGTTTGATTGATTCGCTTTAAGGTAGAGCGTGCAGTGTTAATTCCCTGTTCAAACGGTTTTTAGTCTCGTGTCTTATCAAAATAGCCAGTAGTGGAAGTGCTCGGTCACGGTCCATAAGATAGCGGAACTAGTCGGAGTGTGTGATCCCCACGCTGGAATTTACACTGGAAAAATGATTTTGCAGAACGGTGAACAAATCAAAGCGCTTAATAAAGACCGATATTATATTAGTTTCCTTCGATTTCACACCTCACTGCAGCCTGATCGACATTAACAATGTATGTTACACATCAAAGTTTTGCCAAACATGGATTGAAAGATCTCCGGAAAGACAGTGCTTGCTTATCAGGCTCCACTCTAAATCCCACGCTGGACAAAACCATGGTAGTATTTCCGTCAACTATACTCAAAGGAAGAATCGGTCTGACCCAGCTTTATGATAAATTCTAAATGAATTGATATTGAAAAAAAAAACAAGTTAATTCCAAACTCAATATTAATGGTTTCTGAAAGATATATGTTCCTTTCGTCTTTCAAAACTCCAACTGCCTCAGTACCTCGTCCTTTATCAAACTGCTAATTTCCTGTAACTTTTTTGTCATACATATCATTCATATATACCATCTCTTATAACATGTAACCAGTATTTTTTGCTTCTTACAGCAGCATGCCTCATCATCAGATGGAAGTAGACACCGTTTTAAAAGAGCGCTCCCGTTAGGTTTTCTTTTACGAAACCAAAACCAGCCGCCTGCTTTGTCAAGACCACTAAAACCCAGCATTGGCAGCGTGCTCCGACCAGCTGTTTCCCCGGGAGAAACTTCATCTTCACAGCTACAGGATTTACGTGAATTTTTAACATTTTTAAGATATAAAGGTAAAAAATTATGTAAATATCACAGGGAAGCTTAATTAAAACATCCCATGGCGTATTCACTAAATTTATCAGTCAGTTATTGTCCAATTGATTTAACTAATACTTTACATTAGTCGTTTTTATATTGAGTTAGTTTTAATTATCTTGCATGAGAAAACCTGAATAAGGGAGTTTTCCATTTTGGGAGAATTGCTCCATTTCGCTTTGCTGGATGTACTTCTTCTGTCAGATGACAGTATTCAGTTGTAGTGAGAGGAAACTGTTCTCTTACCACACTCCTGACCATATGATGTGTTTTTCGTGTATATACAAGTCTTTCTTACAGTTTTAGGAATTGTATAAGTTATCCACACACAAGCCTGTAGTTCAATTAGTTCCGTTTTATTTAAGTGCACCTTGATTTTGTTCAGAATCCAAGCGCCCACACCAAAGCAATCAAAGCTGAAACCACAACTTCAACTTTTCATGAAGACAATCGAAGCAGCAGTGGCATTTTCCTATTTCTATTTGCCTTACATATTTCCGTGGTTTCTTGAAAATGTAGTAATAAAACATCACTTGATAAGAAAAATATACACAAAAAGACACGCATTGTCTTCAAAACCCACACTCCTTTTAAGTAAGGTTAAGAAGAGTCTCCGCGGTATCAGCCTTAATGTTAACTTCCGCGTTCCTTGCGGATATACTTTAGAATGGTCCCTAAAACCGTTTTAAGAAACACAGGGAGTCCAAGACTTAATTTCATGTGGCAAAATTGATTTTCCTGAATATTTCATAGCTTTTCCCTTAATCACCAAGACACTATGTATAAAAATAGTTGACAGAATTACGTTCTTTAAACCCGTTTTAAGTTTCTGTCATTTGGGTCTTTAATTTCTCGTCATAGAAATGGAAACCGGTGAATTTCAATGAAAATTTATTTAGAACTCGGAAATGGATCGTTATTTTTGGCAAATTTGGCACATGATATTCTTTGGTTATTGAGGGAAACGTCAAAATTCCCAGACAAAAGTACATTTTTGTTGTATAAAAGCCTGATGCACATTGTATAACTTAAAAGATAAATTCAGAGAGTAAGAAACTGCTTCCATTTTTGTTTCAGAGGATGGATCGTTTATGGCCTGCTTGATGGAGAAACAACTGGAAAAGGAGTTACATGAGATGTTAGAATCTGGCCAGTGAGGATGACATTCTTTATCTACGTTGTTTTAACTGAATTTTTTCCGATCTGTCATAAGAGAAATGCCTCTTGTTACCACTTTATGTTTCACATTTGACGTTTACACTTTATTCTCGTCTATTGCGATGTTTTGGACAGCTGGCACGTTATACTGGGATATGCTAGGGAGTTATATTTGATATTTTGATCCAATTTACTAATCCAGTCCACGATAAGTTTTTGCTAATAATCACATTGTAATCAGACGAAATACTAGAACGAGTCCTTCCAGGATAATTGATACGGACACACCTTTCTCTGTCATTTCTGACGCAATTTTAGTTCGGTATCTGTAAGGATCATGATATTAGGCCTATAATTTGGTATCATAAGGATACAAAATTCATATACGGTGTGTTTGTGTTTTGCTCCCTTTTGGTGTAAGTCCGAGGTGATTAAATTTCAATACATTTTATAATCAATAAAATCACCACTCATAAAAAGGTGTCACATTGTTATTTTCTTTCTTAAAAAAGTAAGGGTGACATATGCAAGACGTTTCTCAATATTACAATACAAGAAATTCATGTTTAAAAAATGTATTGTGGACATGGATGTGATATGCCTTTGGAGAACTGTAAACTTTACGTGTTGAATAAGAGGCAGTGTTCAGAGGGCAAGGGGTATCTTTATACACACTAAGCGATCTGTTTGCTAGGTGAAGTTTATATTAGGAAACTATATATACTGTGCTAATGCGTCGATCACGTTTTGCAATAAGATCCACACGTATACTGCGAGGTAATTCGAGAAGTACATATCACGAACATACGCGTCAAGCCTTTTCTTTTATCCTCGTTTTGCAAGACTGAACGAAGGAAGAGGCGTAAGGCGATTAGCGTCTACTGCAAACAGGTAATCTTCCCCGTGGGACCCGTGCACCGTGTTACGGTCTCTCCCCGTCTTATGCCGAGACCGAGAAGACCGCCCATCGATGTCTACCTCGCACAGGTTGCCTTCACCGCGGAAGCTGTGTTGAATACTTCAGTCTCTCCCCGCCCGGAGGGGAGGCCGAGACGACCGCCGATCAGCGGCTACGGGGACAGGTAGCCATCACCGCGGAAGCCATGCTGAATATAACGGTCTCTCCACCTTGCGGGGAGGCAGAAATGGCCACTGATCGTTGTCTGTGATTAAATATCCCAGCCCAGGGGAGAGATTTGAGGCCCCTGGGTTTCTTGTCATACTGTAGGGTGGACCAATTTTGGATTTTTTTTTCAAAAACGATTCTGGCAACCAGAAACTAGTGTCGTTTTTCAGATCCGATTCTGACGCCGAGAAACCAGAGACCAGATTGGATGGAGGAAGGAGCGTCTATTGCGATCAGGTAACCCTCACCGTGGAAGCTGGGCAGGGTGTTACGGTCTCTCCTCGACGTGCGAGAGGGAGGACGAGATGAGCGCCGATCGATTTCTACAGGTCGGCCCCTGGGCGTCTCGCTTTGTTGAGTGGCTGACTAACTTTGATTTTATTTAATAAAAATAAACAATTGGGACAATTAGAGACTAGTGTTGTTTTTCAAAAAAGATTCTTACACACTTAGTTGATAGGGTCGATAGATTGTGTGTTTTATAGGGAGGGAGAGGAGAGGCCGGGTTACCATGGGGTCTCCCTTTGTTGTTTGGATTATAAATTTTAATTTTATTCAATTTTTCCAAATAAAATTTTAAGAAAAAAGTGTCGTTAAAAAATTCTGGAAAACAGAAACCGGTGTCCTGTTACGAAAAACGAACCTTGCAACTAGAAACTAGTTTCCTTTTAAAAAGAAAACCAAAATCGATTTGGAGGTGGGAGACAAGAGTGGACGGAGGAAGAGGCGGAAGGCGATTTGCGTCTATGTTCAGAATCTCAAAATGGAGCAAATTGGACACTTAGAATTGTTTTATTGATATTTTCATATCTTAACAAATACGTTAGTTGATCATATTAAAATGAAAGTAAATGGGCTATTTTGCATTATGCAAAAAGTATTGAAATTGGAAATAAACTCATTTCAGTAGTTGTCTCTTGTTTACATTTTGGCATTTTCAAGCTATATATATATAGCTTGAAAATATATATTTAAAATAAATGAAATAAATAAATAAAATAAAAAAGTCGGGGTTTTGTTTCATTATCTGAAGTTTACATAATGAAATATATCAGCACCGTGCATGCATGTTTTTTTTCAATTCGGTTAAAATACTTGGTCGATTTTGATAGTTTATCTATGCACTTTCCATCCATTCAGTTGTATTTTATCATTACGTTTTTACATTATGGTAAACTGGTGTAGTATGTTAAGGTCATTTTACACGGTTTTTGGATTCATATACCGGTAATTAACAGATAAAAATGACAGCTGACTGTGAGCAGAGATGATGCCCGTACAGTTTGTAGATAACATGAACCGTTGGTGTTATTTTCATTACTATTACTTTATCTGTATATGTGCCGGTTCAAATTTCATTATTATCGCCATTTCTCTGGTGATGAAGATTAAGCACGCACAAGCACGTGCACACACGCACACACACACACACACACACACACACACACTAAAACAATATGCTGAGCTACCGATTGCAGCAGAGAAGATAATTTGTGTTCCCCTCCAGACGGCGCTATAGACCGGTATAGTTTGCCAAACCTGGCAAAAACTGCTCAGATTGCAGCACGCAGTAGACCATATAAGGATGTCCAGTGACCTACATTATGCCATTTTAGTTTGGGGGTGTAAGGGTCTGAAGCTTAATTTAATTAATTTAATCTAGTGTAATTTGAAATATGCGGGAAACAAAAGCTTCCTGCACATTACTATTTTAGTACATTGCTTATCAAAATCTGCCAGTCAACATATGGTAAATGATAAATAGAAAGGGCGGTTATACCTGCCTCCTACCCCGATAGATCATTTGAAACCTGAACCCTTGGAAGAGATGTCACTTCTTCAGTTCTGAGTGACCAGGGTGTGGATGCAAGGCGGCCAGGATACTAAGTATATATATGTAGATATTTCAGTTTTAACCGATTCAACGAAACGTTATAAGACAGTGGTTTTAGGTATTTGTTGGTAACTTATATTTGATGTATTTAAAAAATGTCTTTGACGCCTGCATGTTGAACACTGGGTTTTACCATCCACCAGTATTTTCCCCACGTGATATTTTGTGTCCTTCATGCCTCCTTTATTTCATCACGTACCTGATGACAGTGAAATTTGCAGTTGTGCCTCATGTTAACTACACAGGGTTTTAAACTACATCGGCAGAATTAGTAGTGGCAGTAAAGTTTTACATGCGAAATAGTCAAGATGGGGAAAATTCTGTGGAATGGCTCTTTTAAATTTTGGCTGTTGAAATTTAATGAGTGGTTTTTAATACAATTGTGTCATAATTATAGTACAGCAAAATGGTCACAGTTGAAAATTAAAGAACGTGATTTTGGTTAAGTGATATACTTCCACTTCTAATTTTGGCATGTTTTCACAAATAATACCATTGAAGTATGTGACCTAGTAAATAGTTGTACTGCTTTCTGCGTGACTGATTATGAAAGCATGATTTTCAAGGCATAGGGGGCGATTGCTAGGGCCAATTCGCAAGTAATGCTTGAACGTAATTTTAATATTTCTTAATTATGGCTCATTTCAATATCACGTTGTCTAGTCAAACAGTTCTGCCCAAAGCAATTTACCGTGTTTTTTACCTTCAAGTTTTAAAGCCTTTTGTAAAAAATTAAAATGCAGAATATTAAACATTGCGTAGTCATTAGTAAAAAAAGCTTGTTTTATTTCGCCAAAGAATGAAACCGCCTCTTATGCCTTTAAACATGTTTTACGTTACATAGTCTGTCTGAGTTTGCCTCCATGACGTTTGTAATACTATTTGCGGTATTCTTCAGCAAGGCAGCAAGTTGTGACTTGACGTTTATTTCAATGCAAATATAATGCTCAAAAATACGGAAAATTTACTTTTCTGGTCCAAAAAAACTCACAAGGGAAGCTCAGTTTGACCTTTTCATCAAAAGACGAAAAAAAAGATCCCCCTGAAAACTGTTCATGTAATTTTGTACATTTTGTGACTTGTGTTACTTATTCACGTCCTTTTAAATTGCTTTGCAAAGAAATAAATTATACTGAAGCTGTCTTATGTTATTGATCTTAAAAATAATACATAATCAATTTAATCCATTTCTAAAATTGTTTAATGCTTAGTTGACAAAATTCTATTTAAAGACTAAAAATTTCATATTCTTTATTTTCTAAACAAGCAATTTCACTCGGCACTCGGAACTTGGCATTTACAATTCTTACACTTGCTTCGAACTACTAGAATTAAATTCTTAATTTTGAAGGTGTGCAATGTGGCTTGGACCTTTAATAAAGCTTAAAAAAAGAAATTTCAGCAAATTTCTCTTTAGATTTACTTTATCCAAAAACCGTTTCCAAAACTACGATCTGAAAACCCCATTTTGGGGTTACAAATTTTTATAATTCTATAGCCACGTGTAAAATTCACAAGTCTTTATTTCCATATCGAAGGTGACTTAAAATCTAGTTACTTAAAACTCTTACCTGTATAATGTTTTGAAGCTTGAAAACTTGCTGTCTTGTTGAGGAAAAAGTGTCATTTTTACGGACAACTATCGATCAATTTGTTTGAGTAATGGAGTATATTAAGTTCACACATTTAAGGCTTAATCTGATAAAAAATAACATGCAGTTGTAAAGTGATTTGGTTAAGCCAAGTGTACCAAGTTAAACTCTGCATAAAAATACTATGGATATATTAAACGATGTTTGTTATTTATCTAAGTTTGCTCATCTGGATTGTAATGTTAATATCACTGATTTTTCTAAAGTTAAGGTGAATAGTATGTACAATATTTTTTTGTAATTTTTTTGTTAATTATGACTTGCATTTGTGGCATTAATTTGTTGAACAGATCTCACTCTTGCATAAAGATGGAGGGAACAGTCATGTGATCCAAAGTTTCCCATTTTCAAAACTGCTGCTTTTTAGCAATTCTATGTCATTTTCAGTATATCGATGCAGAAATGGTGTTTATTTTCTCATATAAGAATATTATTTACGGTCAGAAAGTTGGAAACCATTTGTTACAAATTTTTGGACTTTACAATATAAATGAAAGGTGGTATAAGCAACACCATGATTTGTCCCTCCATTCTTCCTAGGTTTAATAATTACACGTTGCAATTGCTAAAATGTTTTTTTTCAATAGTTATTGTCTCTCGGGAATTGTTTTTTTTTCACATTCCCCATTTAGTAATGTAGTATATTTGAATGTATCGGTCGCTGTAAAATGTCAGAATTTATTTCACAAACGGCTTGTAACAATTTTTTTCAAAACATAGCAAAAATGTGTTTTTTCCTCTAAGCAGTAACCGTCGGAATTCTATGTCGTATCAAATGTAGAAAAAGC